TAAAAGACTTGAGGCTGTTAAGGTGCTTCAGCTAAGTAATGAGTTAAGGGTATGAATACTTATGCAATGTACCTATTTCAGTTTTTTATTTTTGATAAATTTACAAAGTTGTGATCTGATTTGATCAGCATCCAGTCTGTCTGAAATGACACGAAGAAACAGAAAAACTTAGACTAAATCCAGAATAAAATGTCCGTCCCATGCACTGAACGCGCTCTCCTCCACATCACGAGTAGACACGCCCCTTATTGCTGATTGGCTACAAGTTTGTTTTGCGATTCGGCCCGAATCAGTTTTCTAAAGTGTTTTTGAAAAATCACATACTCTGCCTTTAATAGAAGTTAATTGATAAAGAAATTCTATTACATTATTTTTTGACAGCATCCTCATTTTACAGCATTTTTAGACATTGCCATTGTGTGTGTGTACAAATATTTTAAAATAAATAAAATGTAAAAAAAAAAAATGAGGAAAAATAACTGTACATAGGTCAAAATCAGAAAATATACAAAGTTTTAAAGGTCAGTAAGTAGTCCATGGTTCAGAGGTCATGTTATGAGAGACCTGAAGGCATACTGAATGTGCTTTTAAAAATATTTGGGCAATAAGAATCATATGTACACCTGAGAAAGAAGTTTTAAGTGTTTTTGGCCAATGTGCCATCTGTACCTTTTTTCTTTTCTTCTTTTTGGGGCAGGAATGATATACATTCCAATTTATGCTCATTTATGCCAGTGTCAGACCTGAATTCCATATTTATGGTTCTATCACCTCTCCTCACTTTTTTTTTTTTTTAGCAGTTTCTTGCAAATGCTTCGCACATGTAAATGGAATGCTACACTTTGATGTCCTCCCATTGAATCGGACGGCCATCAGTACACATCAGAATTGTGCAGACTTGAGCTTTGTGTATGTGTCATACAAACTGATATGATGTAATCAAATAAAATATTGATGACTGAGTAAGGTGTAACGTCCACACCCTCACCCACAATTAAATCCAAAATGACACACATAGCCTCTGCCAATATTTGGTCCTGTAGGCTTTTATGTACTTCATAGTTTTGTGGAGACATGAGTTTTTATGTGTTCTCGCATGCTTAAACGTGGCCCAGATTGAGTCTAACAGCGCGTGGCCAATCATCAGCATTGTTAAAGGGATAGTTACTCATCCTCATGTTGTTCCAAACCCATATAACTTTCAAAAGAGGGGTTCACTGTTGTTTTAGACCCCACTGACTTTATTATTTAGGACTCATTATTTGGACAAAACCAGTTGTAACATTATTCAAAATAGCTTCTTTTGTGTTCTACAAAAGAAAGTAAGTTGGACAGGTTTGGAATAGCATGAGGGTGAGTAAATGGTGACATTTTTGGGTGAACTATCCCTTTAAGTGCTTGACTATGCATCACTCCATGATTATAGGTCATTGTACTTCATATCTAGGTCAACATCAGTGAGTGCTGAAATCAGGAGAAACTGAGAGCTGTGTAAGTGACTGTCTTCCCATAATACCTTGTAGAATGTAAAAAAAACAATGCTCAAGTGTTGGTGATGGCCCAAACATTTTTGTGAAAAAAAAAATGAGGAGGAGCTAGATATGTGCGAGGTGAGGAAAAAAAGAATTTTGAGTGTAAAATAGATAGATTGAGAGAATAAAAAATGTGTTTAGGTTTATAAAAAGTGTCTGTGTTACAATAATTTAAAGTAGCTACAGTATATTAATGCGAATTTACCTCTCCAAGATAACTGCAAGAAACATTGAGTCAAAGAGCCACAAATTACTCATGTTCAACAGTGTTTTTCTCTTGGATGATATTTTAAACGTTTGACACTGATTGTTTGTAGCGGAATTGAACATTTTGGCACGAATGGGGTAGGAGAGAGGGATGAAAATGTGTTTCTAATCACTCACAAAGATGCTTTTGTTCTTCTGTCTGGGCCTTCTGTAAGCCAGCGGTCCGAGCTGAGGTATTCTGTCAGAGAGTCTTAATTAGACTCATTATATAGGGTTGCAGGGTGCAGGATACACTTAAATGCTTGTGTGTGTGTGTGTGTGTGTGTGTGTGTGTGCGTGATTTATCATTCATCTAGGTGGATACAGTAAGTGGTCTAAATGGCATATTTTGACACTCAGTAGAGTCACTGTGCAAACAGTATCAGTCAGACTTTTCTTGAGTCATTCAGTCTTGCAAGTCAGAAAGTATATGAGTTTACCGGAGTTTAATGCTGTTCCAACAAAAGACAACAAATTTTTCCTAAACTTTTACTAAATTAGACAGTCAGTGTAAGTTTCCTGCCTGTCAAACTCTGAGAGAGAATTTCAAAACTCTTTAATCAAATGAAAATCTAACTTTCCCGAAAGCACCCACATTTTCCATCTCTACTCTTAATATTGCGGCAACACCTCTTCAGAGTGAAGGCCTGTGTGGTTTAAAGATAAGCTTTCAGGGCACATTTCAAACTAAGAGAAGGGATAGCAAAAAAAAAAAAAAAGACGATAACCTGATCCGGTCTAAATGGGCTGGAATAACACTCTCCACCCTGTCTGTATGTCAGTGAGAGATTTTCTCAGAAGGCTGAAAGAGCTCTCTGACTGGGCCTGTCCTGTTATTTTCCTTTTCTATTTTTTTTTTCAATCTGCCCTATTCAGTTTTTGGCTGGTTTATTTACCCCTCCTAGTGGACAGAGCCTGTAACACAACAACAAGACAGCCACATGGCCACACTTCTGTAGGGTTTCAACACATGCCTATATTTGTCGGCCTGCTGGTTGCTGTTAGGATAGGACAATATTTGGCTGAGACACAACTATTTGAAAATCTGGAATCTGAGGGTGCAAACAAATTTAAATATTGAGAAAATCACCTTTAAAATTGTCCAAACGAAGTTCTTAGCAATGCATATTACTAATCCAAAATTAAGTTTTGATATATTTACGGTCTGTCTGTCTGTCTGTCTATCTATCTATCTATCTATCTATCTAAAGTGTTCCCAGTTTTTTTTTTTTTTTATCCTTTGGATTTTTTTGGACTACTTAAATGACAAGATAAATATTTAATGTAGCTATTAAAATACAAAGCTATGCAGAAAAAAAGATGCATTGTTCTCACATGATTGATGTCTCATGGATAATATATATAATATTCTAATATTTTATCTATTGCTCTATTCATACTCTGGCAGTCAGTCTACAGCTTACTCAACAGAATTTAAAGTATGTGAGAGGGAGTTTGCACTCAGTTTAAATATGAGCAGTAAATTATATAACTGAGCGATTAGCTGGATGCTATTAGGCAAAGAGGTAATTGCAAACATTACCCTATTACTCAATGCACCATAGACAGAGCTCACACAAAGACAACTGCTGTCGTATTTTTTTCTCCTGTGCCCCATCCATCTTGTCCCCTATCCCAAAAATACCATCAAATGGACAAGGCCATGATGTTCCTGCTTTCTGGTTCAATCACCCGCTTCCCACCAAAGACAAAGTGTCACATGCATGTTGCATGTTTTAAGGGAAGCCACCTCCCTTGCTTGCTCTTAACTATGAGCACATTTCTCTGCACCCCACACACAGTGAACTACTTTTGAGGCTGTCTATGAGAGAAACTGCATTAGCTCCGACAGGCTGTCACCACAGAGATTGATAGTGTTTGAACAGACAGGACTCTCTTGCCAAATGCTGGTAAAGATGCACAAATGTTTAAAAGTGAATTAGATATTAATCCTCTGGTGTCTGGTGTTTTTAAGGGATATTTTAACCATTCACAGTGTGATATTACATATAATCCACCAAAGGGTGGATCACCCTCTCTCATATTTTTTTTTTC